TTTCTGTTCAGAACAGCTAGTCCAATGCGCAGTTTAATTTTTTAGTTTTCGACCGTTCTTTTAACCGGTTGTGGTTGCTAGGCGGTGAAAATGCCCGGATGATCGCTCCCGAGAATAAATTTACAACACCAACACCTTGTTCACACCTAAGTGGTAGCTGAGCTAAGACATGCGCAGAAAGTGTGCAGGGTCAAAGGTTAACTGATAGTAACAACAAAAATGGCGTCTCGTTCCGAAGATCGACTGGAAGTGGTTAGAAATACTGTTGCTGGCGGGTTAGTTGTCGGCGGAACAATCGCGATTGGATACTTCATCATACCGATACCAATGCCGTCATTGCCCACGGTCACCGATCGCCTTATATTCGCACTGAGATGTCAGATTTTCAACGCTGTATTATTGTACGCAGGAATACAGGTTATCTCTTTGAAAAGATTGTTTACCCAAGCAATGGACCCTGTATCAGGTCGCGGTCAACACCATGTCGAAGTTCATTGTCGTTATGCACAAAACACTCTGGAAAGTCTGGTACTAAGTACGTTTGCAAACCTCGTCATAAGTACGTACATTGAGGAAACCAGCATGAAAATAATACCAATTCTTGTGTTTCTCTTCGTTGTTGGAAGGATTACTTTCTGGATGGGGTATTTGCAGCACCCCATTGGGAGGGCGTTCGGGATGGGCGTGACAATGTTTGGTACTTGGTTATCGCTATATTATGCGGTGTTTTGCGTTGTGTGGAGCGGACTGGGGTTCAGATTACCGATCGATGGTCAAATCGTCGAATGAATCAATGGATACAACCTGAAAACTGGTAAATGAAGCGTGCCATATGGACGATGAACAATGCATGTCAACACACGCATGGAGTGTGAATCGATTTTGTAGTCGCGAACCGAGCAGTGCCGCCAACGGTATAAACGCCACCGTGTCATACCATAAAATGACTGCGATCTGCACGTCTGACAATATGAAGTCGCCGAGTAAAATCAGGAATGATATAAATGAAAAATTTGCTATAGTGTGGAAAACGTTCTTTCTGTTCTAGCACAGTATGCCGATGCCACAGCGGACTGTAAACGGAGCACTAAACGAATACACGTGTGTAGAGACACCGTCCCTCCACGGTGGTACTAGTGGTAGAGAGTTGTCAAATCAATGCAATAGGTGTGGACCATTAGAAACTCTGGGCGGGGCAATGACAGGAAAACTGCAAAATATTTGTTCCCTTTACTTAGTTTTATGCTTTTATATTTCCTTCATGGATTTACTGAAATGTTCTGTTTTCACTCTGTGCAATATGTTAGAAATCAATGTCCGGAATTTCTTTCTGTTTATATTCCTGCAGGATTTTTTTCCATGATTTTTTCTTCCTCAATTTTTTTCTCCATTCTGCCACCCTTCAGAATTTCTACTGGTCAACCACTTGCATAAAATTGAAAGCAAAAACTTGTTTTCCAACTATAATTTAATGAAAAGGTACCATTCCAATTCCCAAATTACCGCCAGATGCATTGTAATTCTATTTGCGCATGCGTAACCTATCAGTACCTAGCAACGGCCGAGGGTAGGACAAAAATATAAAAAGTCAAAAGAGCACCGATAGACATTTTTATTTTAAACTGTTTTTCAAAAACGGCAGAGTAAGTGTGTGTGCGTGTACAAGCAAGGGCAGCTATAAGAGCTTTTTAAGATAGCTGGGAAATGAGGATTTCCAGTTGAAAAAGATGATTTTTTAAAGAAAATGGACTAAAATAGAGATGGAATGTGAGTGTTTTACAAAGTAAAATATGACCGTGACATAGTATTTCAAAATACCTGCAGAAAATATGAAAATATTATGCTATAGCCAAAGATAATTTGCATGCTCATCATTCCTGCTTAGGCAGAATAGTGTGCAAATTTTCAGAGGCTGGTACGAGTTGAAAGATGATGGCAGTTTTATTTCAGAGGAATTTTTATGTTGCTAGTTGGAATCTGTAATGTTCGGTGCACTACGACTCACTGCGCATTCGGAACCTTCAAAATCTGTTCTACCTTCCAGTTTGTTGACCCCAGGTCACAAGATATGCGCAAGCGCACAAATGATGAATGTGCAAATGCTATCAATTTGGAAACCCCCAATTCTAATCAATTATATTAGCATATTTTTAGTGTACATTGATTGACAGATAACTGGTATAACCTTCCACATTGTTTTGTATAATTGCAATTGTTTATTTGCATATTCATATACCTTTTCACCACCAGACTTTCTTACCCATTTGTCTGCACTTTTTTCTCATATTCTATCAATATTTCTGGAAATGAACCCTAATTTTGAAGCCGACTGACTAAATTTAAGTCAATTTGCATTTTTTACTAAAAAAAATTGTCTATTTTTGTTTCAGTCTTTTGAAGGAAAGTGCAGACTATAAACGGGACTATTTTCTGAATTTGTGATGAAAAGAAGGAACTGGTGGTGAAAAAGTTATTGCTGTATTTTCAGTTGAATAATCCTTGAGGGGGCAGATGTAATCTGCCTAAATATGTCTCATATTTAGTATGACGAATAAAATGAAATTATAAATTGACAATTAAAGCTAGGTAAATGTTAAGTTACGCTTGGAGCGTAGTGTTTCTATTGTAATCCTTTGAGGCCAATGTTAACTTTTTTTACAATTCACAAAATAAATTTACATATTTTTTTTCTATATTTTTACAAAATTTGTAACCGATAGAAAATTATGTCCATTTTGGGACAAAATTAACAGAAATTGTAGAAAATAAAATAAATTTGTCAACATTTGGCGAGAAAATTATGGCGATTAAAGGATTACACGGCAGCGAGCAATCTTACAATTGTGTCTGCATTTTCTATAAATTTTGTAACTTGCTAAGTTTACATTAAAGAAAAAAGCCTGTGGTTACTGGTTAATTTGCTGGATTCTGATCAAAAACGTGTCTCAAAAAACACTTTTACTCAAATTTTTCGATTATTTTTTCAGCTCGTACTGATAGAATTAGTTAATATGGAACTACCGTGTTGGCTACCATGAAGCATTTTGGCATTTTTTTATAGAAAAGATGAGTTTTTCATATTTATTTATGCAAATTAGATAATTTTTTCAGCCAATCGTGTTATTCAACTCACACCTGGTAATTTTTGGAACGATTAGAACACAATTCAAGTAGTCAATGTTGATATTGAGTTCACATCGCTTCCAGATCAAAACTTGCATTTATGCTTGATATTGGGAGAGCGCATTGGATTGTGGGAAAATCACTGTTTTATCAATACATATCTTGCAATTACTGTGAATGATTCAGTTTACTTAGTTTTAACAGGTTTTTAATTTGGTTTTTACATTCATCTTATGGAGAGAATAACATTGTAACATTGTAATTTTTTTATTTATATTTGTGAATTTTGTATTGTATAATTTTCTGAGCAGCAAGTAAATATGTGAACTTTCTAAGTAAATATGTCTTGTAATTTTTACAAGGGTAATTATGTAGTTTGAGTACGTTCACTGCCAAAATATCTTTTCTCAGATCACTGGTCACCATGTGCATAGTGGTTGTAGCAACAGACATGTGATCAGTAGACCTGAGTTCAAATCTTACTTGGGGTTGAATACTAAGAAGGCTACACGCCCTCCCTCACTACCCTGGGCAAGTGTTCTACAAACTCAATGGAAAGGCTAAATCCACCAGACGAGTTTCATTCACTAACAAATGCAACATTGGGGGAACCTTAGTCTGCAAGTGCTTGTGTTTCAACTGGTTCTATTTGATGTGAGGATAGTGCATTAAATTGCCATAATACCATTATGATAGGAAGATGGACACAGCCCTGTCACATAGGCCCAAACATGGAATATGGTTTCTGTGGTTAAATGCACTGTGTGTATGTATTAAATTACCATAATACCATTATGATAGGAAGATGGTCACACAGTCCTGTCACATAGGCCCAAACATGGAATATGCTTTCTGTGGTAAAATGCACTGTATGTATGCATTAAATTGCCATAATGACATTATGATAGGAAGATGGTCACACAGCCCTGTCACATAGGCCCAAACATGGAATATGCTTTCTGTGGTAAAATGCACTGTATGTATGCATTAAATTGCCATAATGACATTATGATAGGAAGATGGACACACAGCCCTGTCACATAGGCCCAAACATGGAATATGGTTTCTGTGGTTAAATGCACTGTGTGTATGTATTAAATTACCATAATACCATTATGATAGGAAGATGGTCACACAGTCCTGTCACATAGGCCCAAACATGGAATATGCTTTCTGTGGTAAAATGCACTGTATGTATGCATTAAATTGCCATAATGACATTATGATAGGAAGATGGACACACAGCCCTGTCACATAGGCCCAAACATGGAATATGCTTTCTGTGGTAAAATGCACTGTATGTATGCATTAAATTGCCATAATGACATTATGATAGGAAGATGGACACACAGCCCTGTCACATAGTCACATCCCTGTCATGTAGTCCCAAACTGGAATACCAACTCTTTGGCAAAATTGTTAAACTGCACATACAAAAATACAGTGACATTCAATTTCCAAAACTGTCACTGGGTATGAAATTATTTAAAACAAAAATCTGTTCTCAGATATTTGTCAAGGTTACACTGTTATTAATGACAGACTGAATATATCCCAGGGTATCCAACCTAATTATAATTATTATCTTGAACATTCATGTATACTCGTATTCTAATCTCCTCATTCTGTAAACAGCTTTCATTTCGAGAAAGACAAGTTTCACAAGTCAATGAAAATTTCTCTGGTGTACTATGACACAAAGTGTCTTTTACAAAATTGTGTCTTTACAAATGCCATAGAATTTTGAAATCGCAAAAAATTCTATCAGTGAGAACTAAACGGTCTATGGAGAGCAAAAAAAAAAAAAACTCAAAATGGCTGCTATAATGCTATATTAAGAATGATATACTCCTGTCACATGTACATGTAGCTGGTCTTCTAAGTCGTATTTCTTATGACGTAAATTATCATTCAGCAAAACAGTTTGTAGTAAAATTCCATTTTCTTGCATTTTGTCATAGTTATATGATTGTATTTGGACATCGCTATGGCAACAAAAGTCATTATTTATACACAATGTTTCATTTTAAATTTTTTCAGCGTCTACCATTTTTATTCTGATTAGGAGCAGAACAAACTTCCTTAAAGTGACCTGATGTGTCAATCCATCACCATGGAGATTGTGGGATTGAGTGACTATGGCACCTGGCACACTGAGCAGTGAAAAAAAACATTCTGTACACTTGTCAGGTTAACAGCTTTTATATTTAAGAGAATACCGGTAGTGTTCTTTCAGAGGGGATGTAAAACAGTTGGTCACATGAACTGTTCCTATTCTCTCTGCACGTACAAGATCCAGTTGTTCTTGTCACTAATACTGTGGAATACTTTATTTTCGCTGGAATAATTTTCGCTGAAACGGTTTTTTGGGCGTTTTGTATGGAATTTATTTTCACTGATTTTTGATGAGTTTAATGTGAAATATAGGAAAAAAAAGTATATTCGCTGGATTTTATTTTCACGGAATCATCCCTTCAGCGAAAATGGTGAAAATAAATTCCAAGCGAAAATAAAGTATTCTATAGTAGTAGCAGTTTCC